TGTGCTTACAAAGCTACACACAAGTGTGTGTCAAATATGCAGCCCAGGTTCTATCTAAGACTGCTGCAAGATTGATGCAGCAGAGAGGTGGGCCAGAGCTCTTGGTCAGCATGGTCTATGGATGAATGGTTTGATATTGTGAATACTTGGCCAAATTTTGGATATAAAAAAGGGTGCTCCCGTAATATGTGCACCAGGTGGGGGTTATCAGGTTGTGCGCTATCTTGGTACACATACTACGGGAGCGCCTAAAAAAATGCTCCGACCATTCCATAGCATTGATGAGCGTCTGATTTGACTTGAAAATAATTTTCATTCCAAAAATACGCAACTGGAAATCAAACAGTTCTAGATATGCTGTATTTTTATTATGCAACTTACATTGCCTATTGTCATGAAAATATACTATATTGCAATGAAAATTTTGTTATGAAAAATAGATTGCTTTGTTTAATTACTGCTAAAGTAATAAAAATAAAACTGGAATCACATCTAAACGCACTACCTTGCAAAACAAAGTGAAAAGAGATCATGCTCTTCATCTACATTTATTTTCAAGCAGTTTTCGTAGGGATAAATTCTGTTTGATGGCACCTTATTTTTCCAAGATGTCCAGCATGCTAGTATCGTTTTGGGCGATACCAAATGATTCTATATTAATATTTTCAAAAACTGTGGCTGTAACACCGTCATGAGCATAGTTTAATCTAAATTCAATTTCGAGCAGCTTGGACACTGGGCAATGGTACGGTTAGGCGTCCATATTCTGTATCCTGCAATCATAGAGTCAGTTATCAAACAGTCCGGTTCGGGATTAAATAATGACTGAATTCTTTTGCAGTCTTCCGGGTCTTAGCATCGTTTTTGCATTTTTTGTAAAATAAACCCAGCAATGTATTGGATTATATGGACCTCGCTGAATATCGCTTCATTGATTACCATGAATGTCAATCATTTCTTGGACTGTGAATCTATCAAATATTTTCCCGACAGACTGGAGGGTATAGTAAACCTGGAATACTCGGTTAGAGTGTGAGGAATAACGCTAACTGCATCACAGCTGAAGGATAACATTTAATCACTCAGAACTTTTCTTCAGCAACAATTGTAAGTATTTGACCACATTTGGCTGCAATGATCTTCTACTACAATTCTCCCCACACTAATATCTCTGCCTAAAAATAAAAGAAATTCAAAATTATTTTCACAGATTTATCCCATGGTGGTTAAAAAAAATTTGCTCTTCATGTTTATCTTGAGTTGTGGAAGTTGTATTAGTAATTATGGAATTTATGTAAGAGTCTATAATTATGTAAATCTTACCTTGTTTGTGAATATGTTGAGCCAAAGATGCCACGCTGGAAAATAACTTTTGACACGTTGAGCAACTTGAAATAAAACATAAGTTATTTTTTATAAATCACAGAATAAGTTGTTTATTAGCAAAAATATTGTCATGAAAATATCATATTTAAGTATGTCTCTAATAATGTTGATATTATGCACAACCTGGCCTATTATTCTCTGATAAACTGCCCCACCAGGATAACTTCAAGTTCTGCTACCTGTATAGACCACATTTGGACAAACGTATATGATAAAAAAATTAACAGTGCTGTTTTAGCAGAATGTGTTTCTGATCATCTGCCGATTGTACAATGCTCTCTTCTAGAAAAGCAAATTCAGACCAGAATTGAAACGCTTTATCGCCAGTTTACTTCGTCCAACTTGAATACTTTTATGAATGAACTGAATTCTATTGATATTGATGACTTCAGCAGCATCCAGGATCCCAACACTTGCTTTAAAAATTTTTTTGAAAAATTCTCCACTGCTTACTCTCAATCTTTTCCTTACAAAAAACAGACAAACAGATCAAACAAACCTTGGTATGTTATTGAGTTATGCAAACTCAACAAAGTCAAACAAAAACTTTATAAGAAATTAAAAATTAATAAACAATAAAAACATAAATGACAAGCACAAATTACAGTTCAATGAATGCAGGAACCTTTATACTCGATTGCTCCACAAAAAGAAATCAAATTATTACAAATCTAAATGACAATCATCCTTTGATTGGACTTGATTGCAGTAATACACAAACTGCAAATAAATTTAATGAACACCTTTCCCAAGTGGCACAAAGCCTGCTCGACTGTATGCCACAACCAGCTGGCTGTGACAAAAATTACATTTCATATCTTGGGAAGCAAGAATCCTCATTCATGTTCTTAAGGCCAACTACATCATTAGAAATAAAAAATATCATACGGGATATGAAGCCCAAGTCAAGTTTTGAAATCGATGGTATTCCATTCAAAATATTGAAATATGTTCCAGAACATATTATTGATATCCTGACATATATATTTTATCTTTCACTATCTAGTGGATTATTCATTGAAAGCTTCAAGACATTTAAGTTCATCTTCTAGTTCTTTATCTCTTTAAAAAGGGTAGTGTTTCAGATCTTGGAAACTATAGACCTATTAGTCTTTTACCATCATTTTCTAAGATTCTTGAAAAAATAATGTATAGTAGAATGTCAACTAACAATGTTTTCCACTCGCATCAATTTGGTTTCCGCAAGCATCACTCCACTGCTATGGCTGCTAATGTTTTGATACACAAACTGACCAATGCGTTTGAATGCAAACAACATGCAATTGGAATATTTCTTGATATCACAAAAGCTTTTGACACCATTGACCGTTCCATTCAATTGGATCAAGAGCTACCTTCAAGACAGGAAGCAAATTGTGCAATATGACAACTCATTCTCTACAAATATTTCTGTCATGAAGCACGGAGTTCCACAAGCATCTTTACTTGGCCCGTTATTTTTTCTAGCTTACATTAATGACATGTCCAGGTGTCTGAAATCCTCTGAGTCGATCATGTTTGCTGATGACACAAGATCTATTCACAGTTGCAAACCAAGAACTAACCAACATTCATAGCTGGATGTTAGTTAATAAATTATCTCTGAATGCTAACAAAACTAAATTTGTATTATCCCATCCAAGCAAGCATAAAAGTGTGAGTTGTTCAAAAAAACTACTGCGCAATGGCAATGAAATTGAAAGAGTGAAAGAAATAAAATTTCTAGGAGTTATCTTTGATAAAAATCTGTCATGGAAATCACAAATAAAGCATGTTATTGGTAAAACAAAAAGAAACCTAGCAGTTTCTGCCAAAGTATCCCAGTGTGTTGATCAATCAGCTCTACTAGCAATGTTTCAATCATTACTACTTAGCCATATTCGATATTGTTGTTCAGTCTGGCTTCATGATAATAAAACACTTGTCTCAAAACTGCGGAGTATTTGTAATAATTTTTTAAGAATAGTTTTTGGTAAAAGAAAACGTGAAAGTATGTAGACTCTTCTTCAAATCACTAAATATACATACTTAAGGTTGAAGATATGATGAAATTTGAAATATTATCTCTAGCTCACGACTTTCATAATAATGCGCTGCCCAATTGCTTTAATGACATACTTGTCAAAAATACCTCCAACCGAAGAAGTAGTTCTGATTTATTCGTACCTTTCATGAGTAAATCCGTGAGTCAGCATTCCTTGTCTTTTACTGGACCCAAACTTTGGAATTCTCTTCCCTTAAATTTGAAGACGTTAAAGTCCAAAAAATCTTTTCAAAAACAAGTCAAGTCTCATTTAGTTCCCAAATATTAAAAATTACTACTGGTGGTATTCGATGACAAAAACTTGGGACACTCCACACTTGCACATTATTGTTATATCTTGCCACGACTTGACCAGAACTAGTCCAGCACCAAAGAAATGGTATTGTGACATGCATGAGTATATATATATTTTTTTAAATATAGAGGTAGCTAACGTACCCGGATGATATTTTCTTTAAAAAACTGCACACATTCTATCACTTCACGCTCGTGTTTTCTATCTTATTCTAGTTGTGATGTCCTTATCATACACGCTGGGTCTTATGTTTGAGTGGTGGTATAAGGGTTGTAGATAGTACAATATTGTTCCTGCAAGGTTACTAATTATTGCAACTAGGCGAGCAGTAGAGCTATGTTGGATTCTCCCTTTCAGATTTTAATTTGCTGTGGGTCATTGTAATTGGATGTGTTTTTTATATCATTTATGTATGCATGCATTTTATGTTAAGGCATGGTGTTTGAGTTGACTTGTTGGCCAAGGTATAGATAGTGAAATTTTGTGTGTTTTTTGCATGGTGTGATAAAATTTTCTCTGTCCCAAGCAGAATGTCATCATAGATCATCTATCCATCGCTATATAATGACAATACATTCCATTTAATTAAACAATTATTTTTTGCCTGTAAAAAATAGTTCAGAGCGTTTCCCTTCACCCAATCATTGAAACATCTACTCGCGGTTTTATTTTTTGTTTTTCAGGTTACTTCAAAGTGATTAAATGAAGTAAAACACATAAGGAAAAAATAAAAATAAAAAAGACTCCGATATCCTCCGATGAAAAAACAACCTTATTCCTATATCCTTGTCTGAAATCAATACCCAAGAATGAAAAACCTCACATAAACCCTTTGTAACCAATTTATTTCCACACCCTACTTTTTACCTAATTATAGTAATTTTACTGTTACCGATAACTTTAATTACTTATTACAATCTGGACTATAATTTGGCAATAATAGGCTCTAATTTAAGGAATGAAATGGTCTCTCCCACCTCTTCATGCACCCAATTATGGCAACTTTGGTTGGGCAACTTGGCATTTGACTCCAACTATAATCAGCTTGGCAATATGTTTTCAATAGAATTTTCCTTTTATATTTAAATTAACGATTAGAAGATCGATCAATTTGGCAATGGCAACTATTACTTTATAGATAACCATAGCATTATAAACAAATCCCAATTCGGTTTCCAAAAAAAGCACTCTACTAATCATGCGATTCTTGACATGGTTTTATACTTTAATGACGAATTAGATAAAAAAAGAGCATATTAGTGCTATATTCCTCGACCTAAAAAAGGCATTCGACACCGTTGATCATAACATATTAGTTAAAAAGATGTGCCACTATGGTATTCGCGGACATGCATCAAAATTATTCCAGAACTACTTGAGCTCACGTCAACAATATGTCAAAATAGGATCACATTGTTCTAAACTTGAAACTGTACAGTGTGGAATTCCACAAGGATCGATAATCGGGCCAGTAATGTTCATACTCTTTGTCAATGATCTCCCTCATGCCACTAACTTACTTGTGAAACTCTTTGCTGATGATACTGGACTATTCGGAAGTTCAGCTTCATCAAATGATTTGGAACTGTACATGAACTCTGAAATGCAAAAAATCACATCTTGGATGGCTAGTAATAAACTTACTATAAATATTGAAAAGTCCAAATCTCTATTAATTAACCATAATAAAAATGAAAAAAGTAAGCAACCGATTCAGATTTTTATTAATGACATTCCACTCGAGAATGTCAATTCTTATAAGTACCTAGGTATATATATAGACAATAAGTTGAAATGGGCATCACATATCAACTACATAGCCAGCAAGCTAGCTAGAATAGCGGGAATATTATTTAAATTGAAAACATTTCTTACCACATCAGCTATGCGATTAATTTATTTTTCCCTATTTCAATCATATCTCCAGTATGGCATTGTTGCATGGGGAAGTGCATCATCCACACTGATCCGCAGACTTGAGGTGCTGCAAAATAAATTAATCCGAGCAATTGGTAATGCACCTCTACACACCAGACTTGATCCTTTGTACCATAGATTTAACATTATAAAACTTCACCATGTCCATGAATTTGAGATACTGAAACTCATGCACCAGTACTTCAACGACAAACTTCCAAAGGCATTTGTAGGGTATTTTACTAAACAGGCTGCAGTCCATTCATATCGCACTAGATCTGCCTCGCAAGGTGCCTTATATGTCCCAAGATATACATTATGCTCAACACAAAAATCTATAAAGTATATGGGTGTGAAGTTGTGGAATGATTTACCAGGTACCATAAGATCACTGCCATATCATGGTTTTAAAAGAGACCTGAAAATAAAATATATTGATAATTACCTTTCTGGAAGTTGATCATCTGAAAATTTAATGACCAATTCTAATCTGCTGCCGTTTCTTAACATCTGACTCACGACAGCATGTGACCTTGGCTTGTTATTCTTGACAACGCTGATCCCAGCTCGAGCGATTCAGAGGTGCACGGAGTCCTTATTTTTCAAAATTGCTGCTTGGTTGGCAACGATTATGCCGTTATGTACCATTGAGGTGTTATATACACCTCAATGTTATGTACACGGTCTAAAAACCTAATTGTACATTTATTAGAGTTTCATCTACTTTTATTATGATTGGTTTCTCTTTGAATTTGGATTTTTTCTCCTTCATATATATATATAAAGAAGTTTGTAATAGCTATTTTGTGGTTTTCATGTTTTTCAAATTTGTTATATACACATATTATTCAATTGTTTGATGTCATGTTTTGTAAATAATAATGATTAGAAGCATAGGCGTTAACTAAATTTATTTATTAAGCTGAATCAGCATCGTAGGTGTCGCTGCTCGAAGACCTTTCGTGGTCCCTCGCGACTCCTGTCACACATATGAAGTTCTTTTATATTTATATTGATTGTGTTGACGAATAAATGATGATTGATTGATTGATTACAAAAATATCAATATGGTGTGGCAAATAATTTTTTTTTTCTAGTATTTATTTTTTTTTTTACTGTATAGTATACCCTAAATTTATCGCGTTTTATTCTTACTTAAATAACTTAATAATTTTAGGTGAGTAAACACGTACCACTTCCTCTTGGCAAACCCTTCCATCTTAACCTTATCTAAGGTTTTGTTTGCTCCCCTGATTTCATAATCAGTTTTTATTTATTTTGTTTCTATCTGTCGAACGTATTGTTATGCTGATTATGGAGTCGAAATAAACTTATACTCTATCTATAGAATGAAATCCAGAAAATATATTGATGGTAAGATAATTGAATGCATGATCTGTTGGGGGTCCTGCATCAAATCTCTCCTAACACTTTTTGCCCTCTGTCTGTAGCTCTCTTTTCGATAGCTGTCTTACTTTTGCTCATTCAAGGTAAACTTTTCTTCCATTGCCTCGCCAAGATCTATGAATACTGTCAGTTTATGATCCTCTAACATTAATGAGTCTAGTACAGTACAGGCAGACAGGTAATGTCTGAATGTATCATCAAATTCAGGATCTGATTCAGAGATTTAAACTCGGCAGCTCTGTCTGTCATATATCAGCACATGGTAGCTCACTGAAAAGTCACCCGCTAATGAAAACATACTGATAGTATATATCTAAAGTATAGAAATGGTAGACTTACCTTTATTAGCCATAATATCTACTGATTATATAATAACTAAAGCCCTTGAGTCCGATGCGACCAACAGATATGGTGAAACTGCAGCAAAACGCTGGGAACTCGAGTGGGCGTTAACGAATCAAGTTGCCGCAATGGAGCGTATCGCGTCAGACTATCCTCATTGGTCAAGGCTTTAGTTTCGCATCATGGTATGTTAGTCGTTGGAGCTTTCCCATTGTGGATTCACATTACTATTTCCGCTTCAGCTGATTGTATTTTCCACATTGTTTACAACCATGAGGTTTTTCTCTGATATGAGTTCGCTCATGCGATTGTAAAGTATGCAAATATGGACAAACATGTGATTTCTCTCCAGTATAGATTAGCAGAAGATGCTTTTGTAATTTTGATTTTGATAAAAAATATTTTCTGCATATATGAGTATTCTATCCACTAAGAGTTCGCTCATGTACGTGCAAACAAGTAAAAATTCTTTCCACATTGTTTACAAGCAAACGGTATTTCTCCAGTGTAAGTTCGCTCGTGCCAACGTAAATTAAACATGCACAAAAAACTTTTTTACAAACATAGAGTTTTCTTCAGAATGACTTCGCTTATTCACGTGAATCAAATAATCGTAAGAAACGTTTTCCGCATTGCTGACGAAATGCCTGTGTAAATGAGATAGTTGTGACTACTAAGGTTTTCCTCCAGTGTGAGTTTGTTCATTCATTTATAAATGGGATAGTTGTGAAAACCTGGTCCGTTCATGCATTTGTAAATGAGATAATCTTGAAAAACACTATTCAATCCAAGATTTATTTCCGGTACGAGTTCTCATATGCGGACTATTTATACGATTGTCATTGACTCCAAGATCTACTACTAAAAATGATAACACAATCTACAATAATATTCTTGAATCAGACTGCAGTTGCACTTATCGCGATTCCTTCAACTACATTGCCCCAATGTCTTAATGACATAGAGTTCGAAAACGATATCACACATCATAATAAAATAATGCCCACAAATTATTAGAACACTTGTTTAATATTTTATATCATAAAAACAAACAAATATCCATTCCTCATCTAACAATTACTACTCTAACAATGATAGAGAGAAACGTGAGATTGGATACACAAAAGCAAATGTAAACAATCATATATATATACTGCATCGCCATTCACAGCCTTGGGCATGTTTTGAAGAATATTTTTATTTGAGTATATCCATATTCACAATTACAAATATAAAGTCTCTCACGTACTTTGCGCCCTTTCTGTATTTTTCACATGTATGATACTGCTATCCAGAATAGATAATTGTCTTAAACAGTATAATTGTGAAAAAACGCTTTCCATATTGTTTACAAATATATGATTTCTCTTTCGTATGACTTTGCTTGTGTACATAAAAACTGGACAATGACACGAAAACATCTGTGAAATGCTAAAAACCTACATGCATTGATTTTAAGTATGCGAAATGAGTTACCTCATGTCTATGTAAACGAGATAATTGCGAAAAACTCTTTCCACATTGTTACAAACGTGAGGTTTTCTCCAGTATCAGCTCGTTCATGCAGAGTGGATGATCAGGAATCGTTTACAAACAGTCTAGTCCTAATCATTTACAAATAGGGTTTCTTTCCTCTATGACTTCGCTTATGTGCATGAGAACTGGATAAATGCGAAAAACCTTTTCAACATTGTTCACAGACATAAGGCTTATCTCTGGTATGACTTTGTTCTTGCACATTTAAAGTAGACAATCGTGAAAAACTCTTTCCACATTGTTTACAAACATGGGGTTTCTCTCCGGTATGAGTTCGTTTATGCATTTGTAAATTAGATAATTGTGAAAAGCCCCTTCCACATCATTTACAAACATAAGGCTTCTCTCCATTATGAGTTCGTTCATGCCTATGTAAATTTAATAATAGTGAAAATCCCTTTCCACATTGTTTTCAAACAAAAGGCTACTCTCCATTATGAGTTCGTTCATGCCTGTTTAAAATAGATAATTGCGTTCTCTCCAGTATGAGTTCGTTTATGCACATGTAAACTGGATAATTGTGAAAAACCTTTCCCACATTGTTTACAAACATGAGGTTTCTTTCCAGTATGAGTTCTTTCATGCACATGTAAATTAGAAAATTTTGGAAAACTCTTCCCGCATTGTTTACAAACATAGGGTTTCTTTCCAGTATGAGTTCTTTCATGCACATGTAAATGAGATAATTGCGAAAAACATTTTCCACATTGTTTACAAACATAACTTTTCTCTCCAGTATGAGTTCGTTCATGCACATGTAAAGTAGACGAATCTGAAAAACTTTTTCCACATTGTTTACAAATATAAGGCTTGTCACCTGTATGACTTCGCTCATGCCTACGTAAATTGGATATACACGAAAAACACTTTCCACATTGTTTACAAATATAAGGCTTGTCACCTGTATGACTTCGCTCATGCATACGTAAATTGGATATACACGAAAAACACTTTCCACATTGTTTACAAATATAAGGCTTGTCACCTGTATGACTTCGCTCATGCCTATGTAAATTAAATAATTGCGAAAAACTCTTTCCACATAGTTCACAAACATAAGGTTTCTCCTTAGTATGAGTTCTCTCATGCCTATGTAAATTAGATAATTGTGAAAAACTCTTCCCGCATTGTTTACAAACATAAGGTTTCTTTCCATTATGAGTTCGTTCATGCCCATGTAAAATAGATAATTGCGAAAAACTCTTTCCACATTGTTTACAAACATATGGTTTCTCTCCATTATGAGTTCGTTCATGCACATGTAAACTGGATAATTGTGAAAAACCTTTCTCCACATTGTTTACAAACATAAGGTTTCTTTCCAGTATGAGTTCTTTCATGCACACGTAAACTGGATGATTGTGAAAAACTCTTCCCGCATTGTTTACAAACATGGGGTTTCTCTCCATTATGAGTTCGTTCATGCACATGTAAACTGGATAATCGTGAAAAACCTTTCCCACATTGTTTACAAACATATGGTTTCTCTCCAGTATGAGTTCGTTCATGCACATGTAAATTAGATAAATGTGAAAAACCTTTCCCACATTGTTTACAAACATGAGGTTTCTCTCCAGTATGAGTTCGTTTATGCACATGTAAACTGGATAATCGTGAAAAACCTTTCCCACATTGTTTACAAACATATGGTTTCTCTCCAGTATGAGTTCGTTCATGCCCATGTAAATTAGATAAATGTGAAAAACCTTTCCCACATTGTTTACAAACATGGGGTTTCAATCCAGTATGAGTTCGTTCATGCCTATGTAAACTGGATAATTGTGAAAAACCTTTCCCACATTGTTTACAAACATATGGTTTTTTTCCAGTATGAGTTTGTTCATGCACATGTAGATTAGATATTTGTGAAAAACTCTTTCCACATTGTTTACAAACAAAAGGTTTCTCACCAGTATGAGTTCGATCATGCACATGTAAAGTAGATGAATGTGAAAAACTTTTTCCACATTGTTTACAAATATAAGGCTTGTCACCTGTATGACTTCGCTCATGCCTATGTAAATGAGATAATTGCAAAAAACTCTTTCCACATAATTCACAAACATAAGGTTTCTCTTTAGTATGAGTTCTCTCATGCCTATGTAAATGAGATAATTGCGAAAAACTCTTTCCACATAGTTCACAAACATAAGGTTTCTCTTTAGTATGAGTTCTCTCATGCCTATGTAAATGAGATAATAGTGAAAAACTCTTTCCACATTGTTCATGAACATGGGGTTTCTCCCAAGTATGAGATCTCATATGCACACTTAAATTTCTCTTCCATTTTAGGTTCTCCTCATATTGTTGGCAAACATATAGTTTATCTCCCCTGTTGGTTTGTAACTTATCGGATTTTCCAGTTGGAACAGCCAAACCACTTTTTCTACTTTGTGCATGAACATCAGAGTTCTCTTCATCACCACTTAGTAAACAACCCTTTCCACAATTATCGCCGGTGTTGGTATGCTGACTAGTTCCCACATCGTTATCAGATGGATATTGGTTTAAATCTCCTGTGCCATAATGATTTTCATCATGAAAATGCTTTTCCAAATCGAGTCCCGATGAAAAGTGTTCATTAAAGACAACCTTGGTGGATTCTATGATTTTGGTATAATTTTCCATAATGCAGAATATCTATATAATGATAATAATTTTTTTTACGTTTCGCAAACACTGACCATTGTCATATAATAAATGCAAAAATGCAGCTGAATATATGTGATTAGTTTGATACTGACTGAAAAATTTCAGAAGCCCAATCACAGATTTGGAAAACTACGTGATTAACAAATATTCGTGAATGAAAGCAACTAGATCACTGGTATTGTGATAAGACACCTTAATTGGAGGCTGTGTCATTTATACTTCATATTTGAATCTGTGTTGCTTTATCAGTACTACTGTTTCTTCAACAATTCTAATATTTTAGAAACAATACAATTTCATTGAATATACAGCCCAACATAATATTCAAATATATATAATTATCATCAAAACAATTAATTCTTGGTTGGAAATAGGTAGGGATGGGCAATATAGAATACCGAATCCGGAGGATTCAAATCCCACGAGATCCGATAACAGGATTTGGTTTCCGCCTCTCCGCGCCTTTTGTATTTCGAGTTTCTAATTTATCAATCACGTTTTTTCTCGCGTCGAAATCTCTCTCGTTTAACATAACTTGCGTCTGCTCGTAAAATCGGTAAACGTCAAACACTGTAATCTCAATCTGCATACTCAGAACAAGAAGTCGGCGAAGTACACCTCACGGCGAAGACTCGTTATTGCACCGTTTTTGCGTTCTACTGATTTGCTATATAGCTAACGTATAATAATAATTATTTGTGCCGACTTACTAGCGATATTCCGATAATCTGATTGCAACAATCTTCAATTGTTTACAGACGTGCCTTGCTTCATTTTACATTAAGATATCTCGAGACCTGCGAGTTTTACCAAAAAAAGATGCATGTAAACCAAAAGCCAGGCGTTAAATGTTATAACATTGCTTGCGATTGATTTAGATCAAATATTATTTACGAATAATTTAATACACCATTTTCCGAAATACAAAGTTATATCGCAATACGCGAAAATCTGTTACATTCAAACTCCACTCTCAAAACATTACATTTGTTTCGGTCCGTTTCTATTGTTCAAGATAGACGCACGTTTGATCGAGTGTCTGCAGTAATTTTGTCGCTGGTATATTTTAAAAAAAGTTGCCGCATCTGGCGAAGATAGTGACGTATTGAGTATAATTAGGGCCAAGTCTGTGTAGATAATGATATGTAACGATAATCATAGAAAATGAATTAGTCTTTAGATGTTATTACCTAATAACTAAGTACGAAATCACGTTTACGGGAACTTGGTTTTACGAGTCTTGCTCGCACAGAATAAAAAGTTGATTTTAATTGATAATGGTTAAATTTAATACTTTACAACGGCCGCATAGGTTGCAGTGGCCACACGCTGGTCCTGCATCTAATTAATTCTCAGCGGGTATGTTTTAGTTAGTACACTCGGCAGACTAACATTAAAAATGATTTAACGCCGTTTCATATCTATTTTTGTATTTAACCGCTTACTATTATAGTGTGTAAAGCGTGTCTTAATTTAGCATTTCAGTATTTAGGGATTACATACATTTGGAACAAATTGAAGGCAAAAAAAAATAATAATCCTATAATAAGTTTTATTGTCCTGAGAAATGCCTGTTTAGTATCAAATGAAATCCAATGCTCAGGACATTTCCAAATAAATATTACATTTATAGTTATATATTTAAAACTTTTTAACATCTAAATCCAGCATTGTGGAAATTCTCACTTTTTGAATAAGTATGAAAATAGAATATTATTCTAGAATAGTAAATTATTCTACATTGCCCATCCCTAGAAATAGGGCTGTCCAAGCGAACCGAATGTTCGAAATCTGATCTTTTTTCACCGGGCAAGCAAAAACATGTTTCTATCGCTTTCTTTGCTGTAAAAAGGTCTCTCCTATTGCCCGATGACATGCAATTATCCATTCCATGCATGCTCATAAATGAAAAGTAATCGGTAATAATGATTTAAAGATGACATTTTTTGAGAGAACCCAAGGAGAAAAAGGCAAATTTAGTATCAGCAAAAACGCCAGTTCTATAAATAAAATCGATTTGTAGCTGTTGAGTCAGTAGTTATAGGAACATGGTACAGGACTGTAACACATTTTGGAGGTACATGCCCTTTTTCAATAGAATTTGTAATTTCTTCTAATGGCAATACTTTGTATCATCCATTTATTACTATGACAAATAATTCATCCTTGCGAGTTGATGGCTGTTGTACAACAACAATATGGTCATTAACTAATAATAATTAGGGATGCGACGAATCCAAAAAGGTTCGGCTCGGCCGAATCCGAGTATTTGAGCTGGACTCGTCTCCGAGTCCAATACTTTTTCATTAGCTACGAAATAAATGCCTAACGTGAAGCTGTTGTTCGCGTATATTGGTCGTAAATTAAACATTGTGTAAAATGAGACTATGTATCGGTAATTCATATCGTTGCACATAGTGTTTTGCTTTCGGAACAATCATTTTTCTTAGTTGGCGCTGATAATGATGAAGAGGAATGAGCAATTGTTGATTGAAACAGAAGGGAAACAGATATGTAACGAATGAACGCTCAAAAGGAGAGAATGACTCTCTTTTTCCGACGCAACCACTTTTAATAATACAAATCAGGACGCATTGAAAAGCAAAAGAAAATTTATTAACATTTATTCACAACGAATTACGAGTAAGAATTCACCTACCGCTCTCGCTAACAGACGGAAACGACGAAGGTGACAAATCTTGTGTTGTTGTTTTTCTGTTTTCTTTCTGCGACTATCATATCTTTTCAATTTCAAATTTTTCATAAAGCTGGTAAACACCGCTTTTTTAATTTAGAAACAGCGTAACAGATTAGTAAATAATCCATGGAAATCCAATATTTTAGGGAAAAATATTATTTTGATCACTAAGGAATGCCATAATTGCCGATTTATTTAAGTATTTAGTATAACTGTTTTAACCCAAAGCTGAGTTGCGTGAATTCTCAGTGTTCAATTATTATTATATTACAAAAATAACACGGAGACGATATAAAATTAAAAGCATAAAAAAGTCATATATCACATCCCGGAGACAGTAATGATAATATTGTTCGCTTAAAATTGGGATCTTAATTTACAAATTGTGATATGGAGGATCAAATCCTACACAGAAGATAGAAAAGAAAATTAATTTGTGTTGTGTATTCACTCCTTAATAGATCTTTAACATTTTCGCCGATGTGAACTCACATTTATGTCCGAAATATAAAAACCAAACAACGTTTTACGCCGTGGCGTGAGAATCAATATTTATTTGTTAATAACAAAGTGCCTTAAATTTAGTTTACCAGCATTAACTGGAACGTCGGCCGCCGAAACGATAGCGGTGACAAAAAATAATCAGCGATTATGACAAAATTATGAAATAAAAACGCCATGTTATTACCGAGTTTTCAGTCTTATAGAACATTTCAAAAATAGTTTTGACAATATTTCACATTCCGGTATTCGTAAATCGAATAAGTCGATTTAACCCACCAATAATGATGGCATATGTAAATACTGATTAAATTACGATAAAAAAAATCGACTCAGATTAACATTAAGTAATAGTTTCATAATTCATGCATTTGATCGGCGCTGAATGCGAGCGTGTAAATGATTATAACGCCACGGACATTTCCGAGTTGCACTTCTGTCAAAAATCAACGCAATTTTTATTTATAAATGTGAGTACTCGCTGACTACGGATTAATGGTCGATGATCAGTAGATGTTCGAAATAGGACTTGGCAAAATATTCACCAAACACCGTCAGGCGGATTTTCGCTGTCAACGAGGCATACTTTTTAGTTCGTTAAACGCCTTACGTTGTTGTGAATTTCACATTTGACGCAATCTTTTAATTTCACTTAGGCAAGCCCCCTGTTAGATAGTTGGATAAAAGAGAGAAATAGTGAGAGAAAACCGGCTGGACAGTCTCGTGGCAAAACAGAACGAAAATATTGAATTTCTCGTCGAAAGCGCCTTCAGTCTGCGATTGACTATCGCGTGACGTATGACGTCACGGACTCGGTAAAATCATCAAAGGCTCGGGCCGAATCCGAGCACGAGTCCGAATCTTGTCGCATCCCTAATAATAATGTCATCAAACTAGCTTTAAATTTCCCGCGCGAGTTCCCGAAATGCAGTTTTAAATTTTTTGGGCAACAGTTATATCTATATTAATAGTTGTTTTTCATTTTACTGAAAATTTCACAAAAAATATTGAGTTAATAATACCAATGATGATAAGAATAAAATATCAACTACGGGCATTAAAAGAGTCCAACTCTTAACACTTGAAAGTTTTCGAAACCCCAATTTTTTGACCAGTTCAAGGAGGCTTGTGGTCTCGTTTTATAACTCTGGAAACATAGTTATGCAAAGTATTTGTAATAATTTAGATATAACTGCACATACGTTATCACGATATTGAAAAAGAAGTTTTTTATTGTACATTAGAGATGAATTTAGGATTGCGCAATAAAATTCGATTATTCAGTTCAATTTGAATCAAAAAAATTCGATTTTGGACAGCCCTAGTTGGAAATAACTTCTATGGCCAAATTTTCGCCATATTTAATTTTCCTGCCCAATTGTATATCATGTTATTAATGGATAGCCGAATTATCTATTCTGAACTCTACCTGTGAAGTCTATGGCACAGTACATAAATCTACATGAGCAGAGACAAACTTATCACAACAGTCTCAGCTTGTGGGACAGAACGAGATAAATCCATAGGCCTTGGATCAAATTTTGATAAAGCTTGAATACAGGAGAGGAGAGGCGATAAGCGTCTTAATCATATGGTGAACCACGGCCTCTCTTCAGGTCACCAGTCCATGTCTGGTACGGTATGGGGTTAGTTAGCCAGTTATTTGTTTTCAGAAGCATGGACTTGATAATGCTTGATATACCTAATTTAATGAACGACAAGATACCGGTACCATACGCAGATACACTGCAAAGTGCGAAGGGTGTTAAACTTGTGATAATACATGAATATGATTGAAAAAATAAGAAAATCACCAATCGAGCTTCAACACAGTTACCGGTATAGCTGTACGGTATGTCACTATGAAATACACAAAGCAACAGTGAAAACACAAAAATAAGTGCCTAACAGACTCAGGGATGGCCAAAACCGAATAGTTCACTATTTCGAATACATTCGAAATTATTTTTTTCGAATATGAAATTTCGAATACTTCGAAAATAAAATCCATTAATTGAAGCTTATCTAAATGTATGTAGGAGTTTCCATACAATAAGCAATGGAATACTTGCTATCTACAAGTTACAACCTAGCTATATTACCAGGCATTTCATATTTGCAGATTATTGCAGTATATATTTTATATACCATGAGTCATGTTAACAGAATTAAATTAATACGGCAATAGTGGTATCGATGATGGATTTGAATATTTGCGCAACACAAAATCATCCTAGTAAAACGCCCATATTTTTAAATACCCACCATTATCCAAATTATTTTCCAAAAAGCGGGATAAAGTATGAGGTATTTTTCCGACTTGTGACAATTTTTTCGTGAGTACAAAAATACGAATCAAAAATTAATTATATTCGGGAACTTTACCACACATTTTAAGTCCTAAGATCGCCGTTGTATGTTTGAGTAAAATTACTTTTATTATTTTATAAATATTAAAATAGGAATCAAAATCTATTTATAATCGGGTAGTTTACAACACATTCTAAGTCCACAGATCGCCGTTGTATTTTGTAAATACGAAAATAGGAATCAAAAATTAATATTAATCGCGAGTTTGCTACACAATTTATGTCCACAAATTGCCGTGATATTGTGCCGAATATAATTAGTTTTTGATTCTCATGTTCGTACTCACGAAAAATTGTCACAAGTCGGAAAAAGAATTTATATTTTATCCCGTTCTTGGGAACTTATTTGGATAATGGTTGCCATTGGTTTGTATTTAACTAGGATGATTTTGTGCTGCGCAAAATATTCGAATCCATACCACTATTTAAAATGCCTTACCGTGTTAATTTATTTCTATTATCATACCTCAAATGTTGGTAAATCGGGCAGTTTACCACAAATTTTAAGGTCACAGATCGCCGTTGCATTTTAGAATTATAATAGTTTAATTATTTTGTAAATACGAATCCGAAATTATAGTTGGGCAGTTTACCACGTATTTCATGTCCACAAATACCCGTAGTATTTGGTATTAATACTTTCATTATTTTATCAATATAAAAATAGGAATCAATATTTAATAAAATTGGTCAGTTTACCACACATTTTATGTCCACAGATTGTCGATACAACCATGAGTTACGTTGAACAGATTTAAATTAATACGGCATTACATTTTAAATGCTGGTACCAGTCATGGATTGGATTATTTGGCGCAACAAAAAATCATCCTGGTAAATGATCGATACTTTTAACTATCGTTATCAGAATTATTTGCCAGAAATTATTTTCTAATAAATCGACTTGTTTTTTCCAACTTGTGACAATTTATTGGATATCGTAACAATGACTGCTATAAATACCGTATTTCCCGGCTAATAAGTCCACATGGCAAATAGGACGATGTCTATTTTTAGCACTCCTAAAAGGTTTTTTTCCATAAAGGCCTCCAAAAAGACGGGTAGAAAAATTGTGTCCCTGTTGTTCAGTTATGCTGATATGCGCTAATAATTTTAAATGTTTAGAACCAGATCATGTTAGTTTGGTAGAATCATACTCACAGAATTAACTATTTTCAACAATTGAGCGGTAAATTTAAGTTGTAAAGCGGCAATCATTTTGGACAACCTATTAACCAGAATGTTGAAATAATTTTGGAATGTGATAAGTAATACACTGTACGTCCACGGGTTATTTCACAGCTGTGTTTTTCTGTCGTGTTCTGCTGAATCGGCAAAATGAAAGGGTCACAAATCACTTTATCTCCGTGGCCTAGAAAAGCGACTTATTAGCCGGGAAATACAGTAAATGTCAATTTTTCGACGTAATGGAAATGAATTTGTAAATTAGAAGCCTTGTAGACGAATGTCGCCATGGTCCACCCACGCAAACGTGCAAATGTGTCGCAACACTATGCGACGTACGGTCGCACAGAATATATACAATCAAAGTGCCGATTCTAATTCATCGTCATTACAATAAGCGAGACAGCGTAAAAATCCGTTTGAAGATTCCCGTAAAACGAAACAACACATTTACGGCGAAAGTGGCTACTATTCGGAATTATTCGAAAATCAGCCGAAAAGGTATTCGAATATTTTGATATTCGAATACATTCGAATATTCGATTCGTTTTGGACAACCCTGAACAGACTATCTCGGACACCCCAGGCTCATATCTATTAAGGCAATTCATATTATATAATGCAATGCTTTGGAGGGCCGCTTTCATATTAGAGCAGGACTGCCACTTTTGCCTGAATAAAACATCTAGATTGACCTCGAAAAACATCTAGAAAATACATCTAGATATGAAGTCATTGAAAAGTAACCATAATACAGTATTATTAGATGTCGAAGAAGCTAACATCATAACCTAGAATTCAATTCACACCCGCAGAATTTACAAAAGACCTTGTTCAGTTGTTCTTATCATCCAGTCATCTGAAGGAGCAAACCATTCCTTAAGCCAATCTTTTCTAAATTTTTGCTGGTAGTGTATACACTTTGGCATTTTGAAAAGTTGATGTTTAAAGAGAGACACATTCAATAGGACATATAGACTTAAATAACTTAATAATTTTAAAACCCTTGGCAACAATATCATCGGACCAACGTCGTCCTTTCTACTTAACGTTAATCAAAACGTCACATGTTTTAAACATGTTTAATTCGTTATTCAAATATTTCAAGTACATATGACTGTATATGTACCGGTGGACGAATACAATATGAATGAGTTTTATCGTAAATACAGTTTTATCAATCTTACATCGATACTTCTAAATAATGAAATATTATTCATCCACCTACCGGTATTACAGTATTTCAGGTATTACACACATTTCTTTATTTATTTCCCACTGAATAATATTTAGAACCTTGAAAAAAAAAATATCTAGATTTTATAGCTAACATCTAGGCTCCAAATTTTTTTTTTTTCAATATGTGTTGATATATACATATATACAATACATACATACAATACATATATACAATAGGGGTTCATCACATTACACGTCATAATCCAATATGATCCCCATCATTATTATTGTATGTTCCATTCAGCATTAGTATCATCCAATTTTTTCAAATACATTATTAATATAATCAAATATTTAGGTTATTAACAATAGTTACATAAAAACAAAAATGACAATTAGCAAATGAATAATTCACACTATTGGTATTAGATTAGTTTTTAAAACAATATTTCTTACATCTATCAAAAACATTGGCATAATATATTTAATATATTAACATATTTGTTATCATTCCTATGCCTTTCTAAATTAAGCCTGTGTTTTAACCCCCTTTTAATTTTTTCTTTCACCCTTGTTACATCTGGAGTAACTCCTTGAAATATACCTAACATCATTTCGTTCCATCCATACTTTAAATCTAACAGTAGACAGGAGCAATATCAAAGCATCTATTTGAGAAGAAGTAGCATTTTGATACTCCTGTCCACCCAGAGCCAGATCCAACATTATGCATGTTCGAAACGTTTTTAAAAATTGACAATTACAAAACTTAATGATAATATCATAAATATAATCATATATGTCCTGTATGCATAAACATTTCCAAAACAAATGTTCATTATATTCAAATTTTACATCTAGATCTTGAAAAAAACCCATCTAGATCTAGATCTAAAACTTAATGATAATATCATAAATATAATCATATATGTCCTGTATGCATAAACATTTCCAAAACAAATGTTCATTATATTCAAATTTTACATCTAGATCTTGAAAAAAAAACCATCTAGATCTAAAACATCTAAAGTGGCAGCCCTCTATTCGAGCTTCCTGAATGCAGAACACCGGGGAAGTCGGTTTTGCCTGATCGCTGTACAACTGTCACAGATTTTTTTAAATTAATCCTACGCGGAAAAATTACGTTTGTTTTAACAAACAATCAATATTTAAAATAGGCGTATCGGCTTCTTTTTGTATTTCTTCTGCCTTTCGAATCAGGAATCAAACAAAAAAAAACGATAGTTGATGTAAATATACGGTAGTACTGTCAATAAAACTTCAATTTTTGCAACTGTCATTGATTTGAGGAAAGAGTTCCGATTTTTTGTTGTTCTTTCTTTGTATGATTGTGTTTAACCCTTTCCATGCGATTTTTATTTTTATTAAATAATCGTATTTGCTACGCCGATTTTATGCATTTGTACCCCCACAACTAATCGATCGACTAACGAAAAACTTATGATCCTCTGCTGCCCACTGACGGCTCGTTGGAAAGCTCATTTAAAGAGCTTGCAATTGGCGAATAAAAAAAAAGTTTTTTTAAAAGTGGTGGTCTGAGTCACAAACCGAATAGAAAAAAGACATTTTTTTTTCCTTGGAGTGAAACTTCAACCGTGATAAAAAATAGAAATATTCGCTAAATCCTTACTGTTTACGCTTCGTGGTTGGCAAACAATAGCATAATATTGCTGTTAGCAATTTCGTGATCTAACTCAAAATACTTTGGTAGATGGAAGGAATAATATGTCTTCTATTACAACCCAAAAGACACCGAAATTTGCATAAATTTCAAAAACACTCCTGTAGCGGTCATGATTCTAAACGATGACCGCTATTATTGTAACTAAACTGGCAACGGTAACTTAGGGCATTGAACCCTGACCATTTTGGTGTTGGCGGGATCTCTTTCGGCGTGAGCCGCTTGGAGGTAGAACGTATAAATTTGTATCTTAATCAATCGGGGGGTTTTAGTATTATTAGTTAGGCGTAGTTTAAATTTACATCATATAATTCTATTTCCTGTTTCGTATAGTTATTATTGGTCCCTCCTGTGTAATAGCACTGTATTTTACAGGATTACTGTTTGACAACATATTTCATCATTATTTGGACTACTATTTGACTCAACAATAAACATCTTTGGACAATCGTTTCGAACTTTGAAAGGAACTCAGACAGAACCGCGTCATCAAAAATAAAGTGCCTGTACGATCTATTTATTCCAATTACCCTAACGAGCACATCGCCATCGTATGGCGCTGAGCCGTTATAGTAAAATACACCATCAAACCGCGGGAGGACATTGTCAAAGTCTGCAAGTGTTGCAGTAACGTATCGTACGTGGACTTCACGAAAGCTTCGTCAATGCAACATCAACTGACGGCAGGACATTGTCAAAATCTGCAAGTGTTGCAGTGAAGTATTGTAGGGCGTTACCACACCCCCAACACTTTGTCAAAGTCTGCAAGTGTTGCAGCAAAACGTCGTATAATCAACCAATCTTTCTGTTCTGAAGTATGCTCAATAGTTGACCAACATGATGGTGTAGACCAATCCATGATTATCCCAGTATGGGTCAAAGGTAACACTTCAAAAGAAGTGCTGAGACGTTATAACTCCCTCGTTCCGCCGCAATAAAATTCACGTCGTAAACGAAAGCGAGATTTACCGTCGCTTATGTTAACCTCTAAGAAGACTTCTTATCAATAAACTAAAACCCGGAAAAACTAGACCAACAGTTTGCGACCGATTGCTGAATAGACTTGGGCAGCTGAAGAAGCGTATGCTTCGAGATCAGAAGCACAAAAATGATTATTATAAATTTATGTCGGACATCATTGAGAATTATGCTGAACGGGTGCCTGATGATGAAGTAAGTTTGAGCAATGGTAGAGTGAATTATGTTCCTCATTTGGGTGCGTATCATCCAAAGAAACCTGATAAAATTCGTGTTGTGTTTGACTGTTCTGCAAAATATGGTGGTGTGTGTTTGAATGATTATTTGCTTCCTGGGCCTGACCAGATGAACAGTCTTTAGTGTATTTTGCTCAGATTTCGTATGGAGAGAGTGGCTGTGAAGTGTGATAATAAAGCATTTTTTCATCAATTTTTAGTTGATGAACCGCACCGTGATCTGTTACGTTTTTTATGGTGGAATAATAGTGATATGACTGGTAACTTATGCGATTACAAGTTGAAAATTCACCTATTTGGTGCAATTTCATCACCTGGCTGTGCAAGTTTCGGGTTAAAGCATGCTGCAGATGATGGTGAGTCTTCCTTTGGTAAGGAAGCAGCAGACTTCATTCGTAATGAATTTTACGTTGATGATGGTCTGACTTCAAAGCCAAATGCAGAGGATGCTATTGAGTTGATAAAAAATAGCACAAATTTGTGTTCGAATGCTGGTTTGAATCTCTGTAAGATAATGTCTAATAGTCGGGAGGTTCTTGAAAGCGTTCCTCAATTGTCTGTGTCTCCTAGTGTGCAGTGTTTGGATCCAAAATCTGATCCCTTACCTGTTGAAAGAGCTCTGGGTGTGGACTGGTTAGTGGAGAGTGATTGCCTGTGTTTTCGTATTGACTCGAAGGTTACTCCTGTTACAAGGAGGGGAATTCTTTCCGCAGTCAGTAGTGTGTATGATCCCATAGGTCTGGTAGCACCAGTCATTCTTGAGGGTAAGAAAATCCTCCAAGCCTTGTGCAAGGATTGTTATGACTGGGACGAACCCATTCCTGAGATTTTCAGGGTTAAATGGGAAAAATGGCAAAAGGATCTTTGTCATTTGGTGAATCTGAGAGTAGATCGTTGCTATAAGCCGGTAAATTTTGGTAATATCAAGCATGTGGAACTGCATCACTTTTCTGATGCCTCTGAAAGTGGTTATGGCCAGTGTACATACTTACGTCTGGTTAATGATTGTGGCAAAGCACATTGTGCCCTTGTAATTGGTAAGGCCAGAGTTGCTCCGTTGAAACATGTTACAATTCCCAGGTTGGAATTGACTGCAGCAGTGGTGTCTGCCAGAATGAGTAATTTGGTTAAAACTGAACTAAAATTGAAAAATGCCACAGAGTTTTTCTGGGTCGATAGTATGGTGGTACTGGGGTATATACAAAATGAGAGCAAACGTTTCAATGTTTTTGTGGCTAATAGGGTGCAAACTATCCATAATTTTTCTAGTCCATCATCCTGGCATCATGTACCTACCAAGGCAAACCCGAGTGATGATGCGAGTCGAGGCTTGCAAGCAGACCAGCTAAATGCTGGTTGTAGGTGGTTGAACGGGCCAGAGTTTTTGTGGTGTGAAGGAAAATTTGTTCCTCCATTAGTAAAGCCTGAACAGAATGATGAAGTAATTTTAGAAGTGCAGAAGGAGATGAAGGGATGCTCTGTGCATCGAACCATCGCCTTCAAAGCTGACTGTTCTGGCAAAGATTTTGATATCTCTAGACTTAATATTTTCTCATCCTGGTTTAAAGCAAAACGTGCAGTTGCAAACTGTATTAAGTACAAGGATTTTGCTCAAGAATCCTAAATCTGCCTTTCAGAAAGTTACTTCTGATGACTTGTGCCAGGCGGAAAATTTAATTATATTTTCCCTTCAGCGTTCATATTTTAGTAAAGATCTAAGTGTACTAAAGAATTCTGATTGCTCAGATCAAGTCTCATTTGAAAACGGTTTTCAAAGATTAGACCCCTTCCTTGATAACTCTGGCATTGTCAGAGTTGGGGGACGAATTCGAAAACTCTAGAGAGGAGTTTAAGGTAAAACACCCTGTGTCTTACCTTAGAAAAGGTCATGTCACAAGTATTATTATTCACCATTTTCATGTCCGTGGTGGCCACATGGGTCGTTATATGACTCTAAATGCTATACGGCAATCTGGTTATTGGATTTTGGGAGGCACTTCTGCTGTTTCTCAGCAAATACATGCTTGTGTTCCTTGTAAAAAATTAGAGGTAACCCACATGGCCAGAAGATGGCTGACCTGCCAAAGATAGGTTTGATTTGGACAGTCCGTCACATATGTGGCATGGATATCTTTGGGCATTTTTTTATTAAAGAAAAAAGGGTCCATGTTGAAACGATGGGTAATTTTTATTCATTTGCTTGTCATCACGAGCTGTACATCTGGAATCTCTGAATTTCTATGAGCACAGACTCTTTTATCAATGCTTTGCGTAGGTTCACTGCTCGAAAGAGGCCCTGTGAAACAGCTACGCTGTGATTGTGGGTAGCATTCATTGGTGCAAGTAACGAATTAAGAAAGGCTTATAAGGGAATTTGATCAAGTCAAGATCAAAAATTTCTCTTACAGGGTGAATGTGACTGGGTCGATTTCAAAATTTGGGGTGCCAAATTCGAGTCATATGCAGGGTTTTGTTGAAAGGCAGATACGAACTGTTCGTTCTGCCTTGGAGCCCTGTTTTTTACAGTTTGGTCACATATTATTGCGAAGAATCATTTTCGCACTGTGTTAGTGGAGGCCGAGCAGGTTGTTTAATTTCGAAACCATTGGCGGTGCTAAATTTGGAGTGATCCTTCTGGCAACCTGAACCACTGACTCCTAACCACATTTTAACACTTCAAGCCCAAGGTTTTGTTGCCACCTCCAGGTAATTTCCCAAAAGTCTGATCAGTATCTTTTAAAACGATGGAGACGTGTACAATATCTTGCTAATGAATTTTGGTACAGGTACCGACGAGAATGCCTTCACCTTTTGCAAGAAAGACAGAAATGGGTCTTTCCAAAGAGAAATCTTTGCTCTGGGTGATATTGTCCATGTTATTGAGGATGGGTCTCCTAGAAATTCATGGAAATTAGGAAAGGTTGTTGAGGTTTTCCCCAGTGGTGATGGGCTAGTACGTAAAGTAAGACTTCAGCTTGCCACAAGTTTGTTAACAACCAATGGTTAAGCGGGTTGGGGTCCACAGCTTATTTAGACCGGCCTGTACACAAGCTTGTTCTTTTTAAATGCCAATGAGGGTTCCAGGTCTGTGGAGGATTGATTGCATTACACCTTTATTGTGTTAGTAACTTGAATTTACTTATTTACTGTGTTAGTAGTTTGATTCCCTTTATCACTACGTTCCTCTGGTTAATAATTTTTGATGTTTGCTATTTGCATATGTTTTTGTGTGTTTCTATTGAACGTAATTGACGGGTTTACAACTTTTCTCACAATTTGATACCTTTGTAATTTCATAAATGCTTTCTGTTTTTCTCGTATGTGGGTTTCCCCGACGGTGGAGCCAATCGTTTTAAACCTTTATAAAGCGTTTTTATTATTTTCGCTTGTTATTACTTGTTGTGGGGTTTCCCGGCGGTGAGCCAATCGTTATGTTTATTGACATTATTCAATTTTGAAATGCTTAATGGTGCACCGGCGGCGAAGCTTCACTTTGGTTTTCACTGTTGGTTCTTGTTTGTTTTATTAAATAGAAATCAGTCCCCTTGTACTTCCATACGAGAGGAACTGATTTGGGGAGCCATGTAGCGGTCATGATTCTAAACGATGACCGCTATTATTATAACTAAACTGCAACGGTAACTTAGGGCATTGAACCCTGACCATTTTGGTGTTGGCGGGATCTCTTTCGGCGTGAGCCGCTTGGAGGTAGGACGTATAAATTTGTATCTTAATCAATCGGGGGACTTTGGTATTATTAATTAGGCGTAGTTTAAATTTACATCATATAATTCTATTTTCCTGTTCATATAGTTATTATTGGTCCCTCCTGTGTAATAGCACTGTATTTTACCGGATTACTGTTTGACAACTATTTCATCATTATTTGACTACTATTTTGACTCAACAATAAACATCTTTGGACAATCGTTTCGAACTTTGAAAGGAACTCAGACAGAACCGCGTCATCAAAAATAAAGTGCCTGTACGATCTATTTATTCCAATCACCCTAACGAGCACATCGCCATCGTATGGCGCTGAGACGTTATAACTCCCTCGTTCCGCCGCAATAAAATTCACGTCGTAAACGAAAGCGAGATTTACCGTCGCTTATGTTAACCTCTAAGAAGACTTCTTATCAATAAACTAAAACCCGGAAAAACTAGACCAACAGTTTGCGACCGATTGCTGAATAAAACAGTGGAGTACATCAACGTACCCGCCGCTATCTAGCGACTTTTGTCGTTGGTACGTATACGTGCCCACCGCACGGAAAGGGTTAATTAAGTACATGTGGTAACATAATATTGGGTTGTTTTTATGATCTATTTTCTGCCTAAATTCAACTGCATGATGTCGCTGACTAGATTACGCATACGAGTCTTTTGCGACCCATCGTCAACTGCAACAAGCCGATTTCCGTTTTCGCAATTTATGTTTAGTACCGAATGCTCAAAACTTCGCAAAATTAATCCCATAGAGCTCACAGATATATTTTTTTCAACAGTATAATATCAGAACGATCCATTAATTGGCGTCCAAAAGACGATGAGATACTCCTATGTAGGTTTTTGTATATGTAATATTATAACGCTATCAAGCTTTATTGTGGAGTATCCTGTGAGCTGCCGAATTTGAATATTTCCTCTATGTGTGTGTAATGAATCTCACTCAACAAGTTCGTCAACTTAAATCATTTTATTTGGAAAAATGCTCGAAAGGCTTCTGAATTTAACATTGTTGTTACCAGTATTGGTTTTCGGCGTCTACTTTCACCCTAGAATGCAATTTTTTCATATTTTCTTCACTTTGTGTATGTATCGTTCGTACTTCCAGCATGGTGAAAAAATAAATTGCTGATAACTGGTTATGGCTGGTTAGCCATTGTTACGGCAAGAATTAAGAAAGTCAACGTTTTTAACATGAATACAATGAATTACATTTGTAAAAATGAAATTTCGAATTTTATTGATAATACTGTAAAATATTCATTAACTAATTGTTATCTTTCGTTTTGCTTTTCAAAAACAAAATATGTACACAAGGAAGTCGATTCTCAAAGAAACATGTTAATTAAATAATGTTAGGTTTTTTATGCCAGATGTAATTTCTCCGCGTAGTATTCCTTTAAAAATATGTCTGGACATTTGCTTCAGTGACCGATGTGTTCCACTGCTTTTTGCTTCGATAAGTTCAGTATTACCGACCAGGTGCGCAACTGCCCTATTGCGTAGTACCACCAGACTATTTGCGCAGTAAAATCTCATTCTCGCGCACCTGTAACATTAAGTTTTAAAAGCGTGGCTCACCATACTTTATAACACCTCGCTAGAATAATCTGTATCATGTTTCACGAGTATTTGTTCATTGTTATGTTACGTCCAAGTACCCGGATTTCTCCCGAATCATCCGAAAAGAGCTCTTTTAATCCAAGATTACAATGCCAGCCGGGGACCGGTGCCCACGGGCTATCAATAAACATAGACAAGTTGTATAAACATAAAAAATCACGTAAACAAGGAAAAGCTTTTTGGGTTTAATGTGTACGTACTTTGTTCTCATTCTGATAACATAATATTGAGTTTGTACATCATTTAGAACTCTGCTCAGCCTGAACAATTGCGCAATGTACTATTTTCTTGGAGGGAATACCGGCACGCGTTTTGGTTGACCTCAACATTAATTTTTGCAATATGCAACGCTAGAGAAGATGATCCTGTTTTTATTTGTATTCTACATAACAATCTGAGATTGCCTCTGTCACGGCTTGGCAATGTGTCGCATCGTGCTAATCGTATGGTATCGGTACCCTGTGTCTGTGTGTGGATTTGCAGGTTCGAGCCATCAAGTCCATGGATCCATGAAATAAATAACTGGCTACCGTTATCATAATGTGAAACGGGATAAATTCGCATGGTTTCACTACCGGTAACAAGACAAGAAGCTTTGGTTCGCCTTATGATTAAGAGACTGACCTTATTGTTGTATTGCCTTTCCCCTTGGATGAACTTGTAAGCAGCATGAAATATTTCTGGTGAATTTTTTTTTTTTTTTGATAACTTTATATAATTGATCATCCAATCTAAAAGTGCATAAGTCAACTCATACAGAAAAAAAACGTACATTGTAAACAAGGGTTTGTCACAATCATCCTGCTAATCTATACTTGAGAAAAGTAACATGTTTGTTAATATTTACATGATTTGCAATCGCAAGAGCAATCTCATTCATATCAGAGGAAAACCTCAGGGTTGTAACCCAGAGGTGGGCAAGGTTTTTTGACCTTTCATGAACGATATTGAGCAAACTTATACTGAATAGAAACCTCATACAGTATATGCAAACGATGTAAAAAATATTTCCCAATGAAATCAAAAAATGTGGAAAGTGTTTTTCACATTTACATACTTCACAATAGCAAGACTTATACTCATAAGACGATTCTAATCTTGGCTCAAAAAAGCAGTGGCGGCGCGTGGTCATTTTGACAACCGGGGCAAGCTACTGCGGGACCAAGTCACCCCCATCTACGGGGACAGGATGAGCGCTGTGAGTTCTCCCATCATTTTATGAGTATAAAAACCATTCCATCGGTAACAACCAATCGGCAAAAGCGACAATTTTTAACGATAAGAAAGTGTCTTTAAAACCGGTCCAAGTCAAGGGATTAATAAATATAGACATAGTTTATTTTGAAACCTCTTTCAAAAGGAAAGGCAATATTTACCCAGATAAATACAATGACATATTAACAGAAACTTCGGGAAAGCAGACAAAACCTAAAATAAGGTTTAAAACGTTACTATGAAGAAAGGAAAGTAATGCAAAGATAAGGACATGCGTCGCTCACTCATAGATATATATGCTGCTAGACTTCTACTGCTTGAACATATATGCAACACGCCGCGGTTTCTTGGAAGCAAAATGCTCAATAACGCGCTGATTAAAGTCATGCATCCCAGAAATAACGTCTCTGTGAATGGATAAAACAGCCAAGGAATTTAATCTATCTTGCTTCATTGTGTTTCTGAGATACGTTTTAATACGCTTCAGCGTGCTGAATGTTCGCTCTGCGTCGGCGGAAGAAATAGGCGTCGTCAAAATGATGTCCAGAAATTTTGCAGACGCCGCAAAGGTAGTTACTAGAGTGTTATCTATGAGGAACCCATAGAGCGCGCAAGTTGATGTGATGTTCAAAAAAGTTTGATTGGTGTATATACATCGCAATTCATTTTCCAATTTACCCACGTTTATCATGGGGTAAAATTTGGAGACAGTAGCCAACAAATGGATGGGAAATTGACGTGCAAATTTTGAAAAATTTTTGGGGTTCATCAAAGAGAACGCGGCAAGGTGTTCAGTGCGCAGACGATCGCCTATTTGATTCACCAGAATGTCACAGCATTCCTTTGCAGACAAAATCAAACGCTGCGTTGTTTGCCCGCGGCGTAAAGAAGCACTCCATGTGTCGTCGTATTTTATTGTTTCCCGGATACGAGATACAGCATCGCAGAAGTCTGAAATACACGACTGCACAGACGCTCCATCCATTAGCCTTGACTGCAATGCGCCGTATAATACATCCACGTGATAGAATATTGTGGAGAAAAAAGAGAAAAAATGAAAACTCACCATCTTCTAGCAGACGCTTTAGACCTGCCGCCTCCCTCACAGAGCGTTCGTCCCAAACCGGAGAGCTCTGAATGCCATTGAAACACTCAATGAGCTCAGACCTAATTTCGGACACGCCCTGCACCACGCGTGATTGGAAGTTCCAACGTGTTGGTGCACAAGCTGGGAGACGGCGGCTACATATCTGGCGAAGGAGGTCAGAGCGCTTCGGCGAAACGGAAAAAAATGAAGAAAACCCCGAAACATTTGCAAAAAATATACGGACAAGACACATATTTTTAATAACGAGGTTAAATTGGTGTGCATAACAATGTAAAAAATGCGCATGAGGAAAATCTTCTTTTATATAAACTTGAACACCATGTTTCGACCCACTCATGACTGCCGCGCCGTCATAAGTTTGAGCTATCAATTTTGACTTCGCGTTGTAAGGCTGTAACACTTCTTTCAGTACAGCCGATATCCCGCAAGCCGTGCGATCAACGATTGGTACAAAGCTGTGAAATCTCTCGGTAGGTTTACC